TGCTCAACTATTCATGTTCTAACTGAGCACATGAATGAAGCCACATTTTCATTTAATCAGATATATTATATGTTTAGTTGCACAATTTGTAAAGCTGGAACTGAAGGATGTCCCCGAATGATGGCGTATATTCTCAGCACAACTGGTGCAGATTAATTAAGCAGTATTATAAGAGTTTAGTTACCTCATGCTCTACAGGAAAAGGCCTTATCAACATCATTAGTTCTGGGGCTTTTGCCCTTTTGGAAAACTGGAGATTGATGCCTTGATTTATATTTGTGTTTAGCATTTGAATATGTTGGTGTGTACCTTTTAATGTGTACCTTATGAGTTCTTGGTAGTGCATGATTCTTTGTAAATATTTTATAGTAGTCTCTTTTGTTCTGAGGAAGACTATCTGATGAAGATACCGAAACATGTTAGTTCATCCAGAAACCCCGTTATAAGAAAATAGTCACCTCTATGAATCTTGACTGTAAATGTAAACTTTTACTCTTATGTTCTTCTTGTGAATGATTACTGGATCTTCCTTCAGAGAATTGACCAAGTGGAGACTTTTCTATATAATTACTGAATGAGCAGTGTGTGTAAAAGGTCAAAAAGACATATTGTTGAGACATGATAACAGGACATGATAACGAGTTGTAATCAAGTCTATATTGGATATATCACAAAAATAAAGAATTTTAATTACAATTGAGATACAGTTTATACATCTAGTTAAGTGCCAATTGTCATATTATTTTTGCTTCATTTTGCTGATTGGACTCCCATGGTTCCCCTTATTAATGATTCCTGCATGTTACCCCTCACAAGCAGCCTGCTCTTTTTACCAGCATTTGGGCAACTCTGTGATGGTCCTAACTTCACCAAAGTGTGGACCCAAATTCACCAAGGCAACCACTAGCTTTGTCTATGCTAACAAGGGTCAAGGCCCATCCTGTCCCTCAGTGTGCTGCTTAAACAATTATGATTTTGGCTGATGATGCTCAGCATCAAGTGAATATCCCCCATTCCTCTACAGTGTTAGCGAATACGAGGTCTATAGTGCAGCCTTATGAAGATGATCAGAAAATCAACCTACAGGGGGACAGCTGAAGGGCTGGTAGTTAGCATAGCCAGATTAGGGACCTCCCACATTTTCAAATTATGTCCTTCCTGTCTCCTGATTGTCTCTTTGGAGACTTCCTGCTCCTGCAGAGCTTCTGTTGTTGTTCCTCCTTCAGGAGCTAGGTTAGACAGTTAAGGTTATGTCCCTTCTGAGTTCCATAGTAGTTTGTTCTTCTTTAATAAACCTACTTATTTTTTTCTAAACAGTAAGTTCTCCGCTTCCATTGCATATCCAAACTCTGTCAACATACAGGAGGCTCTTGCACCATTTCCTTAGAGGGCTGTAGCCAAACGTACTCACCACTTCAACATGCTAGCATTTTAAAGGCTGAATCATAAAGAGCCAAAACTTATTTCTTTCTTTGACTGAATTAGACTCAATTTATGTGTATAGAGGAATCAGGCCCATAGCCAGGATTTTTAAATTCGGGGGGGGGCTTTAAATAAGTCGGGGGCACCCTAAACACACCCCCAAGTGAGCACCGCAAATAAAATAAAAAATTGGAAGTCGGGAGCAATGTTCCCTCTAAGCTGTGGAGTCCTGTGAGCAAAAATTCTATTTTGTGAGCTACTGGCATTAAAGTTGTGAGCGAGCGATTTGGCTGCTGCTTAAATTAGTTTGCTCTGGAGCCATCGTTCCTGAGCTAAGACAAAAATGTGTGAGCCAGAGGCTAAAAAACCTGTGAACTAGCTCACACTAACTCAGCTTAGAGGGAACACTGGTCGGGAGGCCTGGGGGCTGGATGGGAAGTCGGGGGGCCTTGGTGGTAAATTGGGGGGCTAGGCCCCAAGATGCCCCACTATAGCTACAGGCCTGGGGGGAATTGGCATGCATGGAAGTGTGACTTCCCTCTTCCACTGTTGCCAGAAATGTCCCTTGAAATACTGCTTCTCGGGTGTGGGGGACCCCTCCCTGGAGCTGTTTGAAGGGGCAACTGGAGAGAAGTAGGACAAGCTGCTCCCCTCTTGAGTGCATGGCTCCTTCTGACAGGATCGAACCCTATGGGCCTCCTAACCCAGGAGACTCTCATGCACAGCAAAGTCTTGCCCAATAGGGCCTACCTTCTACACTTCGGCTAATTTCACACGTGTTGGATAATGCACTTTCAGTGTGCTTTAGCAATCCTCTGCAGCCAGAAAATCAACTTGCTAAAGTGCATTTTAAGAGCACTATCCAACATATCTTAAATTAGCCTTCAATAGAGATGCCAGTTTCATGCACTCTTGTTTGTATATCATCAAGTTTTAGAAATCATGCATACTATATGTTGTATATTGAAGATTACACAGTCTGGTGGCTTTCGGTCTAAAGCCTAAATTCAAGGCCTATGTATAATAAATTGTGCTTTTGTTTACTGTGGCTTTGTTTGTGGACTATCAATGTTGAGATACCCATTGAGTCAGGTTTAATGTGGTCTTGTTCGTATATCACCAGCTTTTAAACTATCTGCCAGGCTAACTGATGGTCAAAGAAAACGGGCTCTCCACGCACACAGTACAGAATGATATTCTGTAAAACTCCTAACATTTTATATCATCTGCCTGAGGCATACCTTCCTTCAGTGCCACACATCCTAGCCCCTATTTTTGTGTGATTAAAAAGCGACAAATTGTTCTAGTCAACATATATCTCGCTAACACAGTTCTCATAGTAATGATCCCCTCTAGTAATAACAGTCTGCTGAACATGGAAATTATGCAAATGTTTGCCTCACTCCCAGTTTGGTGCAGTTGATCTAAAAGTGGGAAAGACTGCAGAGCACTGCAGTAGAACCCTTGCCAATAGTAGGTAGCTATGTCCTAATTAGGAGCTGCGGTGGCTCAAGTGGTTAAGACGCTGAACTGCAGGCTGTGGAAGGCGGGTAGTTCAGCAGTTTGAGACCCGAGTGTGCTGCATGATGGAGTGAGCTCCTGTCTCTAGTTCCAGCTCCTGCCAACCTAGCAGTTCGAAAGCAAGAAATCTCAAGTAGATAAATAGTGGGAAGGTAACATCGTTCCGTGCGCCTTGGTGTTTAGTCATGCCGGCCACATGACCACGGAAATGTCTTCGGACAGCGCTGGCTCTTTGGCTTTGAAATGGAGATGAGCACCGCAACCCTAGAGTCAGATTTGATTGGCTTTCGAGCAAGGGAACCTTTACCTTTACCTTTATGTCCCAATTGCATTTAGTTTTTTCACACAGTTGTCTGTTTAATGATTAAGCTTGGAGACTTAACATAGATAATGGCATTGCAGAAACAATATCAGTCCTATGCCACATAGACTGGTTTTTAATATGGGTTTAATGTATTATATGTTTGTTCATTTTTATCTATATTTATTTTATCTCTCTGTAAGTCGCCTTGGGTCTTGAGATGCTTTTGGGAGACAGACGAGTGTAAACAAACAAACACTTTTGTTAGAGTGGTTCCACAATGGGCCAGCCTGGGCCTCTGGTAATTATTTCACTTAGGGTTGCCAGGTTCCCCCTGGTGACCAGTGGGGGATGGGGGGTACTCGCAGGGCTCTTTTTGTAGCAGGAGCTCCTTTGCATATTAGGCCACACACCCCTAGTGTAGCCAATCCTCTAAGAGCTTACAGAGCTCTTCTTACTGGGGCTACTGTAAGCTCTTGGAGGATTGGTTACATTAGGGGTGTGTCGCTTAATATGCAAATAAGTACCTGCTACAAAAAGAGCCCTGCTAGGGTTGCCAGATTCAGGTTGGGAAACTCCTGGAGATTTGGAGGTGGAACCTGGGGAGGACTGGGACCTCAGTGGGGGTACAGTACCATGGAGTCTGCCCTACAAAGTATCCATTTCTCCAGGGGAACTGACCTCTGTATTCTGGAGGTGTAATTTCTGGGGATCCCCAGGTCCCACCTGGAGGCTGGCACCCCGAATTTCCCTAATGGCAGTGCAGTCCCATGGATTTCACTGTACGCAACCCCAATATAGTTTTTACTGGGACTCTAAGACACTACAGGTTGGGGGCCCTGAGTTGTGGGGGGACATGCGCTGATGTGCCACTGTGACCAAAATGGCAGAGGGGACGCACGGGTGTGGCTGAGTATATTTGACATTCTAGGAAGCCAAGGTGTCTCAAATTTCCTTTCAGGCACTAAGTAGTAATACCCAGCATTCTCTGAAGTTCAAGTGATATAAGCTGATATGAGGTGGTAGCTGTAGACACCAGTGGACACACCTTCTCCTTTCTGGTCACCACAGTCAGACGTTAATTATCCTGGACTGAAAGGGGGTGGGCATGTGCTAGAGGTGGGCAACCGTGGTCCTCATTCCCACTCTGGCCCGTAGCTAACATGGGGCCCACAGGGCCTGGCCCCCTAGTCTTTCTTCTGGGCCCCCTCCTTCCTGGGCTGCCTCCAAAGTGCCCCAGCATGCCACCTGCATTGTGCTTTGGTTTAATTAGCTGGCGGCCCCCGAAGGCCCCCTCCCCCAAAAACCCCTAGCTACGGAGCTGTTCCCACTCTACTCTTTTATAGAGCTTCTCAGACACAGGAACGGCTTGCAGTTGTGGAACCTTGTAATTACCACACATGAGAGCTTGTATTCCCTGGGATAATAAAGACTAAGAACCGCAATCTTGTTAGATGCTTTGTTTATTGAGAACTTCTGCAGTTAACAGATGAAGCCAGAAAGAAAGAAAGAAGCTTAAGATATTGAAGAGCTATACTCTCACAAGGGAACATAGAACAGTTTTTGTTGTCTTCTACCCCCCTCTTTTAACAGCCTAAAAAAGTAAGAAGTTACCCTCAAAGCTGACTTTAGGCCACATGGTACAGCAGAATCCATACAAATCCACTGCAGCAACTCAGGCAGGCCTGCCATGGAACAAAAGGAAGACCAA